AATGAAGCATGCAATGCCGTCGGCCTATCAAGCGTGCAAACTTGCAGTCGCGAACAAGATTTCACAACCTTATGCCATAGACTTGTTCTTGAATTCATTATTATATTATTTTTAACTCTATTGGTTTTGTTTTACCCTGTTTATTGTATATGTTGTACAGGAAGTCAGCAGGGAGTGACTTGATAGGGTTTCTCTTCTTAGATTGATTTGATGACTTGCATACAATTAGATCTTTCTTTTTCTTTTTTAGTTTAATATAAAAAATGTATAGTTGTGTATGTATATATTAGGGCTGTGCAAAAATTAATTGCGATTAATCGCATCCAAAATAAAAGTCTGTGTTTACATAATATATTTGTGTGCTGTATATAATTATTTTGTATATATAAATACCTATGCATGCATGTATATATTTAAGAATTATTTGCGCTTAAATTCTGTATATATATATATATATATATAAAATACAAAATCTATATTATATAAATATTTTATATATGAATAACACATTTAATATATAGATGCATGTGTGTATTTATATATACAAAATAATTATATACAGCACACACAAATATATTATGTAAACACAGACTTTTATTTTGGATGCGATTAATCGCAATTAATTTTTGCACAGCCCTAATATATATATATATATATATATATATATATATATATATAATGCATGCATGAATGTATGTGTATGTTTTATTATATTGTATATGTATTGTTAATCCATAGAAAGATTTTGAAGCACAACATGAATACTATGTGAAGACTAGCCCCGGATCTATATGGCAGATACACAAAGACAACAAATAATGCAAATAAACTGACTGGACTTTTTTTTTAGAGGAGGAAAATTAGATATTCAAATAATAGTGATTTGCATTCAAACTAAATGGCCATTTAGAATCAAATATTATATTGAAATGACTGTAGAGGTAATGGGTTCTGTAAATAGGACTAGAAAGGGAAAGGTGCCTCCGAAATGAGCTGAAAATGTGATGTTTCATTATTTCGGTGAATGTTGATCTACGTGGGGATTATTAAAGGCAACAAGTCGTTCCGATGAAAAAAGGCAAATCGCAGCAGCCTTTTAACATACTGCATAATGAGTTTATAATCATGTTTTGAAAGCTCTAAACTCTAATTATAAGGTCTGCAAATTGAATTTTAACATCTCTTAGAAATCCATTTCTCCTGCTTCCTCATAGAAATTCCTTTTTTGACATCCTAAAACCTAGACAGGCATTGTTAGATATTAAGAAACTAAATGAAACTACTAATGCACTAGGTAGGAAATACTTTATTCCTAGATCTATAGTTGAAAGTTTCCATACTATTATTGCATAAAGAAAGCAAATCTTTTGTCATGTGACATCTTATTCCTGGCCTGGCCTCTGTGTCTTTCTTCCACAATGCTACAAGGATGCAGGCGGTATAGAAGACGTCCCTTTTGTAAAGTGGACAGCAAGGATACAGTGTGTCTTCTATCAACAGACTTCATTGAGGGCAGCAGAATTCTATTAATAAATGCATGGGGGTGAATCTTTTGTGACCTGCCACAATCCATTGTTCGGCATGTTTACGTGTCTTTGTCAGGATAATTGTGTTAAGATGAGGGGCTGTGGGATGTGCATTTTTTTCATGAATAGGTTCTTTGTTAACTGACATTTGCGGTTTCCAAATGGATGGAGAGTGGAAGTATGTAGTAAACAGTGCTCTAAAACTGTCAATGTGGCAGGAGACTAACATTATTAGGCAATTAGCTACAATTTAGTATTAATGTAAACAAAAATATTTATAATGTATAGAAATTGCTTTGTGTAAGGTCTCCATAAATTATTTGAAAATATTTTTTATTGTTTATATATATATATATATATATATATATATATATATATATATATATATATATAAGATTTTTTAATGGTTATAAAAGAAGTCTCTTCTATATATATATATATATGTGTGTGTGTGTGTGTAGAAGAGACTTCTTTTAAAACCATTAAAAAATCTTACTGTTCTAATAAATTTGGCCACCATTTTATATATAATATTTTTTGTTTACAGTAATCACAAATGAGTGGAAAAGGACTTAATTGTTAATTATGTGGACATTTTTTCATCAGAAGCTTGAGAGCCATATCGTACACCGTCAATCAAATGTTCAAAATTCTAATCGTATTAAAATTTGGCCACATCACAGGGCTGAGTAGTATTAGTTGTGTTCTAGCAGATGCCAATGTTCATTCAATTCTGGTCTATCTCGTGTCCACAGGCGACGACTCCACAGATGAGACTGCGCTACTACAAACCTGGTTCAAACTGGTCCTGGAGAAGAACAAACTGTCCAGATATGAGTCTGAACTCATGATCTTGTGAGTACTGTGACTCTTCTGGATTTTTATCAAGTTTTCTATACAAGTCTTATACATGCTCTTGTCCCTAGTGCTCAAGAACTGGAGTTGGAGGACACTCAAAGTCGGCTACAGCAAGACCTGAGACGGCGAATGAACACTGAAGGTAGGTTCTATATATATATATATATATATATATATATATATATATACAGTACACTATACAGGTCAAAAGTTTGGAATAAATATGATTTGTTAAAATGTTTTTGAAAGAAGTCTCTTATGCAGACCAAGGGTGCATTTATTTAATGAATAATAAAGTAAAACAGAAATATTACAATTTAAAATTAATATTACTTTAAAATATTTTACAATGTAATTTATTCTTGTGATGCAAACCAGCGTCACATGATCCTTCAGAAATCATTCTAAAATACAGATTTGCTACTCAATTATTATTTGATAAATTATTAATAATGATTCTGTTAATAATGAAAAAAGTATTTATTTATTTTTAAACTTAACCCAAACTTTTAAATGGTATCAGTTTCCTCAAATATTATTTCAGCGAAAACTTTTTTCAACACTGATGATAATACTAAATGTTTCTTGAGCAGTAAATCAGCCTTTATTAGCCTAATTAGAACAATTTCTGAAGGATCATACACTGTAAAAAAATATATATATATATATTGTTGGTTTAACTTTAAAAAGTAAGTAAGCTGGTTGCTTTCAAATTTTAAGTTCATTGAAATGGAAAAAGTGAGTTAATACAATGAAGGAGAATGATTTAATCATAAGAAACTCAAAATAAATAAATTAAGTTGATTTGACAAAATAAAAAATGTTGTGATTACTGATTACTAATCATGAAAATATTTTTTTACAGCAATGATGCTGAAAATACAGCTTTGCATCACAGAAATAAATATTTTAAAATATTTTATAATAGAAAACATTCTTTTAAAATGTAAAGATATTTCACAATATTGTATTTCTGATCACACAAATGCAGCCTTGGTGAGCACATTTTGTAAATTATTTCAAACAACGGTAGTGTTGTTATAGACCAACATAAGAGGTGATCTAGTGATTACAGAATAACTGGAAGGTTGTCATATTCCACATTAAATGTAAAAACATTTAGGACTGTCGACCAACTTTTCAGATATTGGACTATAATTGGTTTGTTAGAGTTAAAACATATTGTAAGTGGAAGCGCATTTAGTTGTGAACAGGAATTGATAGCAGCAGAGGAAGGTGATAGTGTCTTCATTTGCAAGTCAATGGTTGGTCCCTCAGCCTCTGGCAAACACAAGCTTATTTTAGTTCTTCATGTTGGTGAAGCTCACCACCACTGAGAAATGCAGTGTTGAGCCACAGAACACAAAGGTGTCATTGTGTAATAATTATGGTTGTCATACAATGTTAATCAAAAGAGATTAAACCTTGTTACATGGCGAAAATGTTATGTTATGTGGACAATATTTTACTTGATTATTGATGATAGGCCCATCTTTGTGTTCCCTCCATATCCAGACTGCGAGAAGAGTGCGAGCGAGCTGGCGGAGGAGCAGAGACTGCTGGTGGAGATCATGAAGGTGGTGGAGAGAAGAGATAAACTGGTCAGTCTGCTGGAGGAACAGCGGCTGAAGGAGAAAGCGGAGGACCGAGATCTGGAGGGCATGATCCTGTCCAGAGGCTATCAGTTCCACTGGACCTAAACTCCTCTGCGAGAGCTGCTACTTTTGACAGAGAGATCTCGAACAAGACTGCAAAACGCTTGTTTATTCAAACTTACATAAATGCTGACTTTTGTGTTCTTCAAAAGAAATAAACCTAAACCAAAACACGTGTCTCTTTACTAACTGAAAATATTTCCAAGCACAAAGTTGCACGGGTGAGAGGACTGACTACAGATTTAATTCACACTGGTGCAATTGTATTTATATAATTAAAGCAATTTTTTGTTGTTGTTGACTAGTTTGATTTATCTTCCTGTTTTGTTAAAATTCTTAATGAATGTTTGTTCAGTTCTTCAGCGAATATTCCAATAGATGCCAAAGTTTAATGGCAGTGGTAAAGTGTGTTTGTTGAGTGTTTGTTTCTATCTCGCAATGAACAGGGTATCTTAAGTGACCTTTAATATCAACTATTTTTGAAGTCAAACCAAATGTCATTGTTTCAAGAATCAAGAAGTGCTTAAGAAAATGTAAAAATGGCTCTGGTTTTAATTTTGTTTGTCTGTTGCCTTGTGTAATTTATTTAATAAATGTAAAAATAATGAGTGTGCTCTCCTTTTCTCTTCAAAAACAAACAAAAAAAAATTATCAGATATTTGTAAGAATATTTATTTCTAAATTGTATAAGATCTTAACTATTTTCAAAATATAAAATAATTGTAGTTTTATTATTTTGTCAAATGCTTATTTGCATACAAGTAGAAATTAAAAGTAGTATACAAATTAAATGCAAATTTTATATTTATAATGAAATCCAGCAAAATCAGTGATTTTTATGTCTATTTTTGAACGGATTATTTTACAGTCGGCCCTTTATAGCCCAAGTCTGTAATAATTACAGTTTCCCTCAGGAAAGAGGGTGGGATCAAAGGAAAAGGGAAGCTCGTTTTAGAAGGCTGGGCAAATAGCTGGAATTCCGTTTCCGTTCCTGTTCCTGGGATTTTACGCACTCCCTCAGCGGGGATATTCACATATTATTTACACTTTTCTGCCCCTGACTGTTACTGATGGCTTCTTCCCCGCAGAAATCTCCGTCTTCTCCCAAGTCGCCAACTCCAAAGTCTCCGTCCTCCAGAAAGAAAGATGACTCATTTCTGGGAAAACTTGGTGGGACTCTGGCCAGGAGAAAAAAGGCGAAAGAAGGTAGACTGAGCTAAAAGGAGTGATGTTTTGCACGTTTAAAACACTGAACAGCTTATCTAGTCATGACCGTTTTGCTTGAAATTAGGCTAGGCTAAATAACGTTAACGTTAGCTGCTACCCAAGTTGTCCCAAACTTCAGAAGTCTAATTCCCTGCCTCAGCGGATGGGCGTTTGTTAGCATTGTCAACATCTCTGTTTCTTGTGTAGGGTATATTTTAAAACCCCCAAAAAGTAACGACAACGGGGTGTGTTTAAAGTAGCGAGAAACATAATGTTTACACTAAAGTTTGTGCCGCTTTTTAGCGATGTTCGGACGAATCGCTCTTTTGAGTCGGATCTTTTCAATGAATCATTCCACTCATGGGCCCCTGCAATTCTCTACAGTTGAACCGATTCCTTGAATCGAAAAACTTAGCTCGTCCTAAAACCGATTAATTGTCACATGATTTGAATTGTTGGCAAATATTAAGTTATTTTAGAAAGGCACATATAGCAGACATTTTAGATTTAGATCTCAGAGTTACATTATGCAACAGAGTGTAACTGTCCGCTTGCAAAAGTAAAAATTGGATTTATTTCTCTGTAGAAAACTGTAATTTTAAACAATCACAGACAAATATATACTGTGAGCTTTGAGGTTGTTGCTTCTGTTGAAGCTGTCAGACCGCATTATTTCTTATTTTGTAAATAATCGTTTATCAGTTGAATTCCTTGTGAAAACTACAATACCCATGATTCTGCAGAGAAGCTCCACCAATCATAGAATGAAGACAAGCAAACTGTTCCACATTAACTCTTTAGTGCTCGCCCACTCCCTTTAAACATTGCAAATTATGTAAATGAGTCAGTGTTTGTGTGTGTGTATACATACACACACTTGTAGTATAATTGTATATATAATTGTGTGTGTGTGTGTGTGTGTGTGTGTGTCTATATATATATATATATATATATATATATATAGTATATCATATGCATGCATATTTAGCAATAAATTTTACATTTATTTATTGTTTCTGTATACATAATCAACCTTTAAATCAATAGTTTTATATTTATCCATTGCTTTTATTGCATTTGTCATTTGCAATGCTTCATGGGATTGTAGTTCTTTCCATTATTAAAGCTGTTAAGTACACAGTATGTCATTTTTTATGCTCAATTTTGGCTAGTAGCTCTTTAAAGTATTTACCTTGGAGGCATGATTATAAAAAACCTTTCAAAATATTCACCCACACCTAAAAATGAATCTAAAAATAGTCTGAAAATCACACGTTGGCACATTATAAAGTGTTCTTAAGCTCTGTCTTCTGCTAACACTCAGCTTTGGCTTTGTTGTTCTAACCATGTAAGGTATTCTGTCTGGACGAGGCTTGAGATTGTTATTGTACAGGAATGAGAACAGTCATCTCAGCCTTGAGGCAAGAACAGCTGTGAAACTAGACTGCAATACCCAATAATAATCCTGACAACTTCTGGTGATCCACATCCTTAACAAATAAAAATATATTAGTTTTGTTGTTGTCCTCTTATCCAGTAAGTAAATTAGTCTGTGTGCCGCTACCCATTACTTTCAAGTGTTTCTTCTGGGTTTGCACAATTCCCAGAGTGCACTTCTGTAATGATTGCACGGCATCCATCAGCACTTGCAAGGCCGTTTGAGAGGAAAACGCAGCTGAGCCTTCGGATTCTCTGACTGCCTATTTTTCCGTCTCGTATTCACCCACGCACAGGACGAGAACTGTGATCCGGATGGGTAATTGATGTAGGATTGGATTTTAAAAAGGGCTATTTCACAAAATGCAGTGCATTTTATGTTTATTGCTTTTGTTGCAATTGAAAATATAAATTACACAGGATAAGTACTACAACTTAAATGGTTGGAAGAAAAAAAAATTCATCACCTTTCATGTCACTCCTTTATGCTGTTATTTATTTCTATAGATTTTTTTATTTAATTTTTTTTACAAAGAATTCCGAATCTTTCCATATTATGACACGTTTTAGCTTCAAAGAGTGCAAAAAGCACCAAAAAAGATATCTCCTTGTGAAGTTCTTGTTAATGACTAATATTTCGAAAGAAATTGTGGTGCTCATGGTTAAACTTCCTCCCAGGCAGTCACCCATGTTAACCTCATCGCTCCTCATAATAATCCTCAAGTTACATGACATCTTTGTCGTGCCTTTGGATTGGATGCACCCCTCGTGTCAGCGAGAAGAAGCAGCAGGAGACCAGCTGCGCGTGAGGTCGAGAGGGTGTTGATTAATAGGATATCGTCCTCCATGGGAGGCCTCTGGAATCCAGCACAGGATGTTCGCATCCCCATAATCAGTGCTGTAGACAGTGATGCATGCTGGGTTGCTGTTGGAGTGAAGAGCTGGAGTCTTGAGTTTTTCTCAGAGGATGTTGAGTATGTCATCGTTTTCCTGAAGTCTAATAAATATAGGATTTTTGAAACATTTTCATCTGAAAATGAGCCGTGATGATGGTTTTGTGGACGGTTGCCAGGGTGTTGCTAAGGTGTTTATTGTCATTTCTTGGTATTTGCTCATTGAAAACTTATCATGATGTCTCTGGTGGCTAAATATTATTACTTATATTTAGTCAAGAAACATTTATTATTATTCCATCACGGAAACGTCTATTTGATGTGCGTCATCTGCAATACGTCTATAGGACGTTTCCTGTCAGATGTCAAATAGACGTTTAGAAAATGTCTTTAAGATGTTTATCATTTAGAATGTATGCAAAACGTCTATCAGATGTTAGTAAACGGCAGATGCTTTCCAGATGAAGTGATCTTTAACGTGTGCTATCTAGGATATTAGCAATGTTGAAAACATTTGTGCTGCTTCATATTTTTTCAGTATTCTTTGATAAATAGAAAGTTAAAAAAAACAGCAATTATTTGAAATTGAAGTCTTTTGAAACCTTATAAAACAACCATTACACAAGGAATAAAACACTCGGTTTCTTTTTTCTCTTTTTTCTGGCCACTGTATTCAGAAATAATTTGTTACCTCTCACCCGATGTGTCTTGTATCCTATAGTATCGGAGCTGCAGGAGGAGGGGATGAACGCCATTAATCTCCCGATGAGTCCCACACCTTTTGAGCTTCATCCTGAGGACATCATGCTAGGTACTGAACCCGTAGACTGATTATTCAATTGATGCTCCCTCAGGTTAATAATAAGCCCTTACACCTTCCTCTCCTTCCTGTCTGTCTCTTTCTCTCACAGAGGAAAATGAAGTCCGCACTATGGTGGACCCAAACTCGAAAAATGACCGAAAACTCCAGGAACTCATGAAGGTTTGTGTTTAAAGCCAAAACATCAATTCTGTCATTATTCAGTCACCCTTGTGTCTTTCCTAAATACACCCATGATTATGCCTAAATTAGGTGCTCATCGACTGGATCAATGATGTTCTGGTTGGGGAAAGGATCATTGTGAAGGACCTGGCTGAAGATCTCTATGATGGACAGGTTCTCCAGAAGCTCTTTGGTACAAAACTGTTTATTTTACTATATGGCGGCTTCTGATTTGATTGACTTAACTAAGCAAGTTCTACCTGGACTCCTTGAGATCTACCCCGCCACACCCCTATTCTGATTTGGCCTTGTGTTTCTGTCCTGTAGAAAAGCTTGAAGGTGAGAAGCTAAATGTTGCAGAGGTGACCCAATCTGAAATTGCCCAGAAGCAGAAGCTGCAGACGGTTCTGGAGAGAATCAATGACGCCCTGAAGGTCTCCACCAGGAGCATCAAGTGGAACGTCGACTGTAGGTCCCTAGAGCTTCAACGTGATTTGTTCAAATGATCCTAAGTAAGACAAGACAATGATGTTAAATATGGACCTGGCTTAAAGTGTCTGCTTAGACATGCTGTGGTGCACAAAATGGATTTACAACAAAGTAAAGTCTGTTTGAAAAGCTATTGATGGGTGTTTCTCGTAGCTTTGAGTTTCAAAGGCTTGGAAAACACTTAAGGTGATGCAACAGTGTCTTTTAGTGGATTTCAATCACTCTACTTATGCGGAAGAGACACTAAAGAGATTGCAGTTCATTTTATGAGGCAGAAAGATTTATGCGCTATTGATTTTTGTATTAAATGGAGGAGAACATCAATCCTGTGTCCTTAACAATTCACAGCTCTAAGGCTACTCCTCCTCAGCTTGTTTCGTGCCAATACTGGTTTTAATACATTCAAAGAATGTTGCGATCAGTGTTGCCACAGTTACTTTGAAAAAGTAACTAAGTTACTTTACAAGTTACTTGATTTTAAAAGTAACCAAGTTACTTTACAAGTTACTTTTATTAGTTGCATTCAGCAGTTGCCGACAACACGCCAACAACAACAAAAATTATAACCGGTTTTGCCAACACTCACTTTATTGGAAGTGTATTTTTAACAGTAACATCAACAATCTATCTCCTGTCATTTAAAGTTGAACTTAAACTATTTCCTGAAAAAAATGTTTTTACAAAAAAAAAACAGTCGTTCTTGACTTAACTTAATATAAATACTTAATATAATATACTTAATACTTAATATAAATTCTTTACCTCACTTAACATAAATACTTGTTTTTTATAAAAAATAAAATAAAGACAGCCTTTCTTGACTTCACTGATAGTCTTTTTCTTTCCCTATTCTTATGGATATCTGAGTTAAATGACAAAAATGTACTTTAATTTGCCCATCGAAAATTGTTTGGATTGTTGTGGTTTACTATTGTGATGTCATGTGAGTGACAGTTTGCTCCGCCCTCACGCCAGTAAACACATCATTAGAGGGAGGAGAAATTTTGAGTAAAGATTACAAGGGTGCATGGATGAAACATTTATAATAAACAATGAAATATTTCATTAAAAAAATTAGAATTATCGGTACTTTCCTGTTATCCGAACCCCACGATGGCCTACCCCTACCCGTCACTGGGGTTAAGACCAATCAGGGATGACTATAGTTCCGAAATGGTATATGGTGGGGTCCGGATAACAGGAAAGTACCGAATTATCAGTTGATTTCATGGTGACTTTGTTTTTGTTTTTGCTAGCGGTTCACGCTAAGAGCATTGTGGCCATCCTTCACCTGCTGGTGGCGGTTTCACAGCACTTCAGAGCGCCCATTCGCCTCCCTGACCATGTGTCCATTCAGGTGGTTGTGGTCCAGGTATGTAGACTCTGTTTTAGACCGTAATGCTGCTAATACGTCCTTGTTGTTATTTGCATTTAAAACACTTATCTGATGAACTTTTCATACAAATTCGTCTCACAAATCTCCTCAAAATCAAATAAAAGGTAAACTTGTTGGTGTTGACGTACCAATTATTGTCAATATATTTTAAGAAAGAAAGTCCGAATAGAAAGTGCAAATGAAAGCTAATTTCATCTGTTTTTTTTGTTGTTGTCATGATTCATGATGTCCTTTTGGTATTTTCTTGCTTACTTCAATGTTACAAATTATAATTTGTTGTCAAAATTATAAATAAATCAATATTTTCTTGCACTCATTGGATACAGAATTAATTATGGGGTTCTAGTTAATTATCCCCAATATCTAAAGCTAATTAGCCTCAGTAACTAATGCTAGCTTGCTAATGTTGATGCTGTCATTTTTCATTTGTTTCATAACAGATATTTTGATATCAAACGATGGTGGTTTCTTAAGTCTTCTAGAGAATTCGGACTCTTGTTAATATCCAATCTGTTCCCCTTTTCTTTTCCCTTAGAAACGAGAGGGCATTCTCCAATCCCGTCAGGTTATGGAGGAGATCACTGGCAACACTGAGTATGTCAATGCTGCATCCCTAATTTCCAAATGTCACCCCCATATGTTCATAAATGTGCCAATATCAGGTTTTAATGATCTTTTGCATATTATGTAATGACTCCTTTCATATGCTTCAATCATTGTGCAGTAGATCACTGATTACAAGATGGCGTCTGGGTTAGCCTATAGCGCCGTTTTGTCGCCCTTTGTGTGGAAACACACACATACATATGTTCACAGCTGACTGTAGAGCGGTCCAGCAGGCACCTGGCAGCTGGAGAGATAAGTGTGTGTTTTTGCACGTGTGTGTGTTTGTGGAATACTTCCTGAGCCTGTTATCACACACACAGTAGCTGCTGCTGCCTAGGCTGATGGCTGGCAGGAGTGATTAGAGAGTGAGGCGGGGGGGCTCGTGGGCAGAAAGTCCTGTCCAGGGCAGTCCCAGACTTGCCTGATCAATTTGATCACCCTTCCACACGGCCAAATAGCAGCTGAATTTTTTTTGTGTGCCTGGATTTCAGTGACTGTAGCATTACGAAAGATAAATGACCTCCCATGCTGTACAAGAGATGCATAACATGCAATAATGCGCTGATATTAAAATTGTTGCCGATACTGATAAGCCAATACATTTTTTTATGACCAAATGGTCGATATTAAAATTCTACACGATTGTCTAAGTACATTTTAAACATGCTAAAACAAAAACTAACCATTTTAAATCCTGAAAATTGGGTATTCTCTTTGAGATTTCATTAAACTATGTAATTAAATCAGTGTTTTTAAAGATTAACTGTAATCAAGCATTTAATGATGGCAAAGAGGAAATGAGCATGAACATTTAAATATGCAATATCATTAAAAACAATAACGATATATATCATCTTGCCTAGAGTAGTTGGAATTATCATGTGATGTTTTTCTAACTGCATGTTCACTTTGTTCATAGGGCATTATCTGGCAGGCATGGTAAGTATTATAAAAAATTATATCATTTAGATGTTAAATAGACTATTATTCAAAAGTTCGGGGTCTGTAAGATTTAGAAAAATATAGATACTTTTATTTAGCATAGATGCATTAAATTGATCAATAGTTGACTAAAAACAATGTTTTAAAATATTTTTTATATAAGGACTTGTTAAGCAAAAATGTTAAGCAGCACAGCTGTTTTCTATTTGATAATTATAAGAAATGTTTCTTGAGCAGCAATTCAGCGTATTAGGATCATGTGACACTGAAGACTGAAGGAATGATGCTGAAAATTCAGCTTTGCATTACAGTGATAAATTACATGTAATAATATAGTTAGGTTATTTTTAAATTGTAATGTTGTGATTGTAATTTTTGATAGATAAATGCATTCTTGTTGAGCTTATAAGAAAAAAACAAACTTTTGAATGGTTGTGAAAATGTTTGTTGTTCTCTAATACATGGATGTATTCTTCCATGTAGAGCGTGATGCTTTTGATACCTTGTTTGATCATGCTCCTGACAAGCTGAATGTCGTGAAGAAGGTATGAAAGAGCACAAGTATTAGCCGAATTGACATCTTAAGACAAGCCTGACTACATATGCATCTGTTTTCCACAGACTCTAATCACCTTCGTCAACAAACACCTGAATAAACTGAACTTGGAGGTTGCTGAACTGGATACACAGGTAACTAACACATGGATCAACACAATAAATAGCCTGTGGTAAATTAAAGCGCGACGCGAAGCCATGAAAAATCATCCGTTACAGTGATTTTATAAAATGGTAGCAGCAACGACATGATAAAAGGGTATTCATTCAATAAATTTAATGAAATTACAGTTCGGTCATCATTTATTTCCCTTCATGTCACATGGCACAGTCCATTTGGCTGTTCCAGTCGGTCTTTTACATGGAACTAAAATGGGAACTGAAGCTTTCAGTCTTTAAAACAGACATAAAAGCTCCATGAAAATAGAATTTAAAGTAGCTCATTCGATTTACTTTATATATATATATTAGATTACTTTATACCTTATATAAGTTTTCTGAACCCATATGAAAGCTTTGTGTCAGAAATATACTGAAATTTAAGTTGCTATTAAATCGCAAATATTATAACTAATAAGATGCTAAAGGATTGCTATGTTCGCCGGTTAAAAAAAAAAAATGTTTTTAAAAAAAAAAATCTGTTATGCTCACCAAGGCTGCATTTGTTTAATAAAAAAACAGAACAATAATAAAAAAAAAAAATATATATATATATATATATATATTAATTTTTGATTAAAACTTTTTCACATATTTTAAAAAATGTAAGTTATCTCTGTGATAATAGATAATCGGGAGATTAATAGATAATAGTTATCTCTGAAGATTAATTTTCAGCATCATTATTCTAGTCTTCAGTGTCATATGGTCCATCATAAATCATTCTAATGTGCTGATTTGCTACTGAAGAAACATTTCTTATTATTATCATCAATGTTGAAAACAATTGTGCTGCTACATATTTATGTGGAAACCGTGATCTTTTTTGAGGATTCTTTGACAAATAGAAATTGATTCACTGTCACTTTTGATTCATTTAAAGGGATAGTTCACCCTTGTCTTCCAAACCTTTGAGTTTCTTTCTTCTGTCGAACACAAGAGATATTTTAAAGAATGTTGGTAATCAAACTGTTGACAGTAGCCATTGATTTCCAAAGCAAAAAAAAAAAAAAAAATACTATGGAGTCCCGTCAACTCTTTGGTTACTAAAACTCTTTAAAGTATCTTTTGTGTTCAACAGAAGAAAGAAACTCGTACAGGTTTGGAACAACATGAGTGTAAGTAATGTTGAACTATCCTTTCTGAAAATACTAGAATAGTAGTATTTCTTAAAACAGAACTCTAATTGTGATTTGGCGTGTATGATTGGATTGAGTTGTTCTGACTGAGGCGTGTGTGTAGTTTGCAGATGGTGTGTATCTGGTCCTGCTGATGGGACTTCTAGAAGGATACTTCGTCCCCCTCTACAACTTCTTCCTGACCCCTGAGAATTTTGACCAAAAGGTATAAATTCTAAGTACATGGGTGGTTAACATGCTTCAGTGTGGAAGGCCATCCCGGTGTGGTGTGTTGAGTGTCATCGAGAGGGGGTGGGGTTGACAGTCAGCCCAGAGTACAGGCTGCTCACCTGGGTCACATCCAGCAGGCACGGCCTGTGCCAAATGGGCATGTTAGACCAGGATGCATCTGTAATCTGCCTCTGCACAGGAAACGGATAAATGGTGTGATTTGTGGCTCCCTTCTAATATCCAGTGCTTATGTGTGGATTTCAGAGATAACTGCTTTAGGTCCTTCTACAGTCCAGTTTTGGGAAATCACCTTTTTTTTTTTTTTTTAAATGCGTACCCCACTTAGTACTTTTTCAAGGTGTTGAAATATGGTTGTTTCTTTTTTATCTGCAGGTTCATAATGTGTCTTTCTCCTTCGAGCTGATGCAGGACGGTGGCCTGGAGAGGCCCAAACCCAGGCCTGAGGGTAATTATACCTTTGTTTTCTGCTAATCCTATTATTGTAAAAAGATTTGTCTTGTCAGGGCTGTACTCTGGAAATAATGTTTTGCCAATTCTCAAATGTTGCTCTTTTAAACTGAAAGTTCAGAGATAATTGAAAAATATTTAAATTACGTTTTAAAACAGGTCTTTCTTGAGTCGTGCTGAAAATATAATTTTATTCATATAATCTATTTTTTTTTTAATCAAAATGATTCTAAAAGTTTTAGTTAGTTGGTTGGTTAGTACTTTTTCCTTTAGTTAATTAATTAGTACTTTTCATTCCTTTTAATAATATTTAGTTCCTTAGTTTTAACTATTCTTAACTGAATGAAAATGACTATTTCCCTCCCTTAAACAATAGTCAGGGTATATTTACACGACAACAATGTACTAAAAATATAAACGTTTTTCTTTGCGTTTTTTCCCCATTCACACGTTTCTGTGAAAACGATTAAAAAAGCTGCTCTAACCCTGCCTATAGACTAAACACATAATATGCATGCGCATGACGTCACCATTTTCACAAATTCACATTTCTGTAGTTTGCATGGAGACGATAACTGTCGTTTTCAAAAACGTGCACTTTGAAACCCATTTTCAAAAGTTTTGCTGTTTATACTAATATATATATATATATATATATATATATATATATATATAATATATATATATATATATATATAATATATATATATATATATTATGTGTGTGTGTGTGTGTGTGTGTGTGTGTGTGACATCATGCCCATGCGTATTACGTGTTCAGTCTATAGGCATGTACAATTTATTTACAAAGTGACATCACCAAAGACATTGAACAGGTGCTTTTAATAATCCTTTAGATGAGTGTGTGTGTGTGTATATATATATATATATATATTATATATTTATATTTATTTACATATACACACACTGGGTACCACTCATCTCCACTACAAATAGTCAAAAAGGCAACAATTTGAAAGAGCTTGAAGACTAGAAAAATGTTGCCTGGTCTGATGAGTCTCGATTTCTGTTGAGACATTCAGATGGTAGAGTCAGAATTTGGCGTAAACAGAATGAGAACATGGATCCATCATGCCTTGTTACCACTGTGCAGGCTGGTGGTGGTGGTGTAATGGTGTGGGGGATGTTTTCTTGGCACACTTTAGGCCCCTTAGTGCCAATTGGCCATGGTTTAAATGCCACGGCCTACTTGAGCATTGTTTCTAATCATGTCCATCCCTTTATGGCCACCATTTACCCATCCTCTGATGGCTACGTCCAGCAGGATAATGCACCATGTCACAAAGCTCGAATCATTTCAAATTGGTTTCTTGAACATGACAATGAGTTCACTGTAGTAAAATGGCCCCCACAGTCACCAGATCTCAACCCAATAGAGCATCTTTGGGATGTGGTGGAACGGGAGCTTCGTGCCCTGGATGTGCATCCCACAAATCTCCATCAACTGCAAGATGCTATCCTATCAATATGGGCCAACATTTCTAAAGAATGCTTTCAGCACCTTGTTGAATCAATGCCACGTAGAATTAAGGCAGTTCTGAAGGCGAAAGGGGGTCAAACATAGTATTAGTATAGTATTCCTAATAATCCTTTAGGTGAGTGTGTGTATGTGTGTGTGTGTGTTATGCCACATATACAGTATCCATAATATACACATACTATTATAAGTACTAGACACATACCACAATTATACATCTCTCTCTATATACTGCTATTAATTATAGTGTGTGTGTGTGTGTGTATTTGAATGATTTCAAGTTAAATGTGTGTCTAGGTTTGTTAGTGTTGTTTGTATAATGCCATTCAGCGTCCTTGAAGAGTCGGTGCATTATTTAACATTGGATAAATCCAATTCATGCTTTAAATCAATTCAAACAAGAACTGGATCTGAAGAAACTATGCACTGAATGTGTTTTAGCTGCTCAAGGTGTTCTTCAGAGTGAGACAGAATTGTAACTGTATAAAAGCTTTTGTTCTCAAATGTCAAAATGAGTCCGTTTTTCCCTCTGTTTTGTTCCAGATATTGTGAATTGTGACCTAAAATCAACACTTCGAGTTCTTTACAACCTTTTCACCAAGTACAGACATGTGGAATGAGTCGAAACGGGTAACACGTTTATGGAATAACAAGTTTTTATGAGGCTGACAAACAAAATATGCTGTTAATTATTTTTGGAGTATTTTATAATACCCGTATACGGCTAATAATTGTGTCTAGGTGTCATCTTGATGGATGGAAAAACACTAAAGAAAAACACTATGCAGACTAATGTTTTTAAATGAAAGCATTCCATTCCTCTGATGATGCATTGAAGTCTAGCATAACTTCAGCTTTTATTCGTGGAAATGTAATCTGTTTCAAATGTATTCAATCAGAAAATATCCAGTTTGCACTACATTTATATCACATAAAACTCTATATTCTCTTAAGTCACAGTATTTGCTTATATTATCAAGTGGGCGTCTAGCCAAAGAATTGTTTGTTGTAATGAGTGTCTGTTTCACTACATATCATGCTTAGTCATGATTTCTGTGCTAATAATAATAGTCTGTCTGAGTCAACAAAAAATGTTGCCAAACAAATTTGTCTCAGAGTTCATAGCGATTAATTTTAGGGCTGGGCAACGATTAATCGCATCCCAAATAAAAGTTTGTGTTTACATAATATTTGTGTGTGTACTGTGTATAATTATTTTCTATATAAAAAATTCATACACATGCATGTATGTATATATTTAAGAAAAATATGAATGTCAAATATTTATATTTAATATAAATGATGTATAAATATATATAGAGTATATACATGCAAATATTTCTTAAATATATACACGCATGTGTGTATTTATATGTACAATATAATTATACACACTACACACACATATCTATTATGCAAACTTTTATTTTGGATGCGATTAATCGTAGCCCAGCCCTAACTTACGTCTTAAAACAGGGTGTCTTGGATCATTATAGTGCAAAATTTTTAGTTAAAATGAAAAGCAGATTTAATTGGTGTAAGCGCCACTTTTGATGGAAGCTACAAGAAACCATTTTTTATACATTGTATTGGTTGATGTCATTCCAGTAGCATCATTTGTAAAACTCAATGTTTTATCGGCACTTGAAAATGTTACAAAATCTACATTAAACATGGATGAATTATCTAGCCCATTGTGATCCAGTTGTATCTTTCCATTCCACGGCTGCATTCTTGAGTGCTGTACTTTAAGCCGTCTTGTCACTGATAGACTCTGTTCACTTCACTCACTGGAACAGATGCTTACGGCGTTCAAAATACCGCAGGGATGACCGGCAGACATGGGTCCTCTTTGTCTCTTGTTTAAGTGGAAGGCTGTTTGGGGGTAATTTGCTTCCATTCAAAACCATCCGCGTCCACATGGGGAACCGGTGCTTGAAAAATCGCTTTAACATTCTTATTGGATTCTTTCAAAATGCCTGCAAATCGAAATGACGGTCTCATTTGATCTTGAAAGGCTCAATATGCTACAGTGCTTGAGCGCTGTATTTTGTTTTGTGCTTTATAACAACCAATAAATATAAACATTCTAATATGGAATATGTTTTATAACATCTGAACTGATGGTTTAAGGAGAAAAATGCTCCAGTCTTTGGATTTTTCTAGTCGGAATGGAATGATTTCCCAGAAAATTAGTTTTCTAACTGAAGCGTTGAAATTCTTGTGCCTGCTTTAGAAAATTTCAGATCTTCATGTATAATAAGATTTTGAATTTCCTAAGGAAAATGTGAGTGGTGCTTGTCGAGCACGATTTACCGCAACAATTGGGCGTTTCTTTGCTGTTGCTAGGTTTCCTTTTGGACCAAGTCTCTGATATTCTGGCCCCCTTTTAAAGGGATAGTTCACCCAAAAATGAAAATTCTGTCAGTATTTACTCACCCTCATGTTGTTCCAACCCCGTAAGACCTTCGTTCATTTTCGGAACACAAATTAAGATATTTTTGATGAAATCTGAGAGCTGGATCACTCCTGCATACTAGTCCATAGGCTTCTTGAGGAATTAAAACTTGCCGTCCTCAAAGTTATTAAAGACATCGTTAAAATAGTCCAAGTGACTACAGTGGCTCAATCTTACATTTATCAAACGACGAGAATACTTTTTGTGAAAAAACAAACAAAAATAACGACTTTATTTCAACTAACTATAAGCCTCTAGTCAGTTAACGTAGTGTAATAGCGTAGAGTTACGTCACACGTAGCCTCACAATTGGCAGACGGTCATGTGTGTGGTCATGTGTGTGATGCGTGTGACGTACAATAACAGAAGCTTACGCTATTAAACTAGTCGAGGCAGAGAAAGAAGTAAATGAATAGTTGAAATAAAGTCGTTATTTTTTGTGCACAAAAAGTGCTCGTCGTTCGATAAAGTTAAGATTGAGCCACTGAAGTCGCTTGGACTATTTTGACGATGTCTTTAATAACTTTTCGAGGCCGGCAAGTTTCAATCCCTCAAGAAGCCTATGGACTAGAATGGAGGAGTGATCCAGCTCTCAGATTTCATCAAAAATATCTTAAACTGTGTTCCGAAGATGAACGAAGGTCTTACGGGGTTGGAACAACGTGAGGGTGAGTAAATACTGACAGAATTTTCATTTTTGGGTGAACTAACCCTTTACCCTTTAATTGTACGGTCCCTCAGGCAAATGGGGGAAATCTGATCACTAAGAAAAGTAGATGGTCACTATGAGTAACTACACTAAGTGTAATTTTGCATGAAAATTGTTCATTGTCAAATTCCTCATGACAGCTAAACAAACCTGGTGATTCGAGGTTTCGATTATGTCTAGCACAAAGGTGAAGCTGTTACAATACATTTTCTTTCATTTTAAAATTGTCTTCCATAATGAAGATTCAACAGTGAAAATATATTACGATTCACTATATGTAGCTCTGTTTTTTGTTTAAATATGGAAAAGAACATTACGGATGAACCATGCTGTATACAATTATGCAATTTTCTTTGCATCCTGACTTCCTGTTATGCCAAAAGCAGGTGATTAGTGTAATCTAAGGGGGAAAATTACAAAAAGGACACCTGGGTAATTGACTGATCTGTGTGTAATGTCCTGAAATGTCATGTTGCTTCCATTAGGTTGCAATTATTTTGCTCCTAGTAACATTTGTTCTCTTTCTCTTAAAAATTAGATTTTTTTTTTTCTCCTCACCTTTTTTGATAACCCATGAAGGTTTCGAACCCTCAGTGTGTGGATTTTCAAAGTTACGCTGGGCTTAAATTCAGCTGAACATCAAAGGTAGAAGGACACAATAAACATGCCTCTGAGGACCTTTACAGGAAAGACATGACCTCCGATCTGCTAAAGAGCGTTTAAATTCTTTTCGGCTATGGTTGATTCATATCACATTTAGTTGATGTCATATGAATGTCGTATCTAAGAATAATGATGTCATATTTGTTATATATGTGCTCATTCCTCTGAAAAGAGATACGCACAAGGGCTTCCTCTCTGATTCCTTTTCATGTCGTTCATTGCATCCCTATAGAATGAAAGCAACGTTCGGCTAATGGCAGGCTCAGGCACGCTGGCTTGCTCTCATGGGGTAACAGTAACAAGTTAACAAGCTTGTTCAGATCCAATTATATGACCATTTAATTACACCCTTTCATCTCGCTCCTGCTCGCTTTTCCTGTAAAAGCACATATTGATTTTCAAGGATGTTATACGTTTACCCGTTTTGTTCACTGAGAGGTGTGTTGGCTGGATGAAGTTGTCATGTTCAAATCTTTAACAAGCGCTCAATTAAGTTGTTGAGTGCAGATTTTTCTTGCTAACCTTTCAAATCAAGGCTGTCTCCTTTTTGTTTTAGTCTGTCAGGATCACTATTATCATCAAAGATGATTGACAAGTAGCATACAGTTTGGATTGGCGGTATGGGAGAGCAGTGATGATGACCCTCTTTAGGGTAAATGGAACAGAACCAACATCAATGTTTTGCAGGTATGATAGAAGTTCTGAATGACAATAATTTGATGTAACAAGAAAAATCAAAATAAAGGAATATCTGAAGGCTAAGTCGTGACTATGGACGAGAGGGGGAGTTGGGGATGGGGAAGGGTGATTAATATCTCCTGAGCAATGCGATAATATTCTATGCTCCATTGGGATGCTGTGATAGGTGGATGTGACCTGCCAGAACTACATTTGATGTGTTAAATTACCAGTTTATTTATTAAAATCACTAAATTTGTGAACATGGCAAAGTTAAAACTGATAACAAGCACTTTCATTCATTTTGTCAATTATAAACGAAATGTAGGCTATGTATACAGTAAACACACAGGCCTATAGATGTAGATCATTTGACTTTAATGAATCACTAATGTTTCTCATGTTGTGTAGAAACAGTCAACGCATTTCCATGACTACAGCTTATGTCTGTTTTTACCACAAGATGGCAATGGTACATATAATGAAAGACTGTATTCTATTATCAATGTTAACAACCCTTCTGTGGATCCAGTGGTAACTATAATGTATATTTCAGTGTTTCCTCATTCACTTTACACAATGTAATGTAGAAACTCCATTGACATACGATGTCTGAGTGAGTGACTTTTATACAAGAGGGCAGTATGTAATTGTTTAATGGTAACGTAGTAGCAATTTTTGATTGTGAAAAATTAAAAACGTATAACAATGACCCTAAAAAAAACTTAATTTATCTAAGCTAGGCCTATTATTGTTGTTTGTTCAATAGCTTTATAACTGTTAGGTCCAGCGGTTGTCAAAGTGTAGAAATTAAGCTACTAATGATGCATTTTTATTCACTTCAAAGATTATTTTTAAGTCACCATGAAATTAAAATGGACAACTCCTTTTTTTTTATGGACTGTCACAGTGTTTATTATAACTTAGGGTAGAGTGGGGTGAAACGCCCCCTTATGTTTTCTCCAAAATAACCACTAGATAAAGTCAAGATACATTTTTGTTACTGCTATGAACTACGTTGACGGGAGTGATGTTGAAGTATTCACCGTGAAGCTCACACTGGTGAAGTAGGGATTCAAAAGATTCGAGTCTCTGATGAATCAAAAAATCCTCACCACTTCGGTCACACACTTTTTTTTTTTTTATTATGTAGAAATAACAAATATAAATCAAGACATTAATACACAATACAACAAAACAGAGGGTTACAATCCATAAACTTAAATAACATTAAACAAGCTTAAATGATCGACAATTTGCAGTCTTACATGCAGTAGAGTTTTTAGAGTTCTTCAATGAATTTAAATAAATCAATTTTTTCTTAAAATAAAAAAGGAGTTTTTTTTTTTAATTTACACCCGTGAATATAAAATTTGGCAAGAAAAAGTAGCAAATTAAGGACAAATTTAGAATGAAAGGGGTCTAATTTCATAGTCACCAAAAAAAACATAATTTTTTGTTTACACAGAAGTCTAAAGAAAAATACCTTTTAATAAAATTTGAAAAATCAATCCAAAAGATTTTGCAATACAAACATTCCCAAAACAAATGAATAATCGTTTCATCAAACCGATGACAAAAGGAGCACAAGGGGGAAATACAATTATTGAATTTAGCAAATTTATAATTAACTGGGAAGCAATTGTGAAAAATTTTGATTGAGACTTCAAACACTTTATTAGATAAGAAAAAAATTTGCAGAAGGAGCCAGAAAGCCTCCCACCCTATATCATCAAATTTATTATTCCAAAAACTTACACAGGCAGGTAAAGAAATCTATACCTCTGTTAAGAATTGAGCAAATTTTCTTGTTTGACAATCTACTGAAAAAACATTGGTCAACAAAAAGATGAGCGTTGTCAAAAATAGGTGGAGAAGTTAAAGGTCCTTTATTGACCAAATGTTTCACACAATCACGAATTGTACTAAAAACAATGGCATATTCTCCTGGGGGGACTGGAAAATAGAATTTTTGCATAAAATGTTCATAGAGAGCAAAACACCCCTTTCATCTAAAAGTTACTTTCACACACACACTCCCCTCCCACCGCCGAGGAGTTATGCGAGTGACGTCACTCTGGCCCCGCCCCCAACGCAAACTCAGTTCTTCGCGTTCATTTCATTCTTGCCCTCATTCCGCGCATACTTCACATCGTTGTTAGATACGCAGAATTGTCGCGCTCTCGCGCTCCGACAAGAAGAAGGAAAAAAGTGATCAGCTGGAAATAAATCAGAGCGCGCGCTCGATCCGATTACTCTGCATCAGACACATTTAAAACACTCGAGGTACGTTTGTGCTTTATACTAAGTTGTTAAAAGGGGCGTGAAGTTATAAACGCTATTTAGATTTTCTGTAAAATTGCTTTTAAGGATAAGAGTGGTAGATATTTTTACTACTTCTACTAACACTTTGTATTTTGTCTTGTATATGGATCAGTTGATAAATACTGCGAGAATAGAGGCTAGTTTTATTCCCAGTTCTTAAAGTGCCACGGCAAAAATAAGCAGCCTTTCACGATCATGAAATACACTGTGCCAAACGAGGCTAGTTAAACCGATTAATAGTTTTATTTGTTTATTTATTTTCAGATTGTGCAAAACACCCGCAGATATTTTCATCAATTGTGGAGGTTCAGAAAACACTTTTTGATTCTATCGATGCCAACTTTGACCACGATCTCGTAACAGTAAGTTCATATTGACTTTATAGTAGCTAGGCTAAACCTCACGCTGTGATTCATGTTTCTGGCACGACTGAATCAGTGTCATTGATTTCTGGTTATTAACTTGACCTCAGTGACTTGTGGATGTTTAGGCGGTTATTTGGTCCGGTTAACACCCCGCTCCCGTTTGCTTTCCTGAAAAACGCCAGTTTTGTGTACATAAATAAACGATTAGGGAGAAAGTCCATGGTCCAGCCCCTGTTAATAATTAATCTGGACGTTAGAAAGCCCTCAGACTAAAATTAGTCTCTGGTCTAAGACAGTCTCAAAAACCGCCTATACATAGACAGCATTTTTTGGCTATCATGTGTCATATTTCCAGTAACAGTGACATGCTTTATTGCGATTTTCAATTCTAGTCTGCCATTTACATAACATGCATTAAAAAGATATATAGACAACTTTTAACTAGGGCTAATCTAACTGACTGGACTTGGAAGACTTGATTCATTTTGTGCAATCTGTGTGTGAAAAGTTGATGTCTAAATGTCTTATACTGTAGGACATAGGCTACTGTAGTACATCAAGTACATGTCTTAACTGTAGTGCATTTGTAGTATTTTTTTGGTGTTTGTTGTTAACCCCAACCCCCCCCCCCCCTCCAACTGCTGTCTGACAGAGGTGTGTTGTCTCAGATGATATCGACCCCCTTCGCCATTGTCTTGTTGTTTTGACTTGCCAGTCTATTTAACTTATGTAAACATAGTAGATAAGCCCTTTCAAAATTTAAATGCATTCTTACGCTAGCTCCTAAACAGTGTTTTTTTTTTTTTTTTTTACTATATCAGTATTCCAAATCAATATCTGTGACAGTTTTCATTCATTTTTGAATGTAATTTAATCAAAACCTAACAAGTATTTTGAAGTGTAGGAACATATGGCCACTTAAGTGGAACGAAACGCATCTGAAATTCCCTTTATGAGTTTTAACATACTAACATAACCTTTCAGAGAGAGAGGATCGATTAGTTAGGCCTAATTATGCTATTTTCAAGAATTAAAACTTTGTCAGAGAAGGAAACTGAAATGTGCCTGATTCACTAGTCACGGCTTCCTCTGGGAGCACGGGATTGTGGGAAAATGGGGGAAGGGGCCCTTCATTGTTCCTGCTGTTATTGAAGCAGGGGCTCGTGGAGCGGCTGAATTACTCCACAAACAGTCCCGCTCCCATGCTGACATCTGGTTTGCCACTTAAGCGCACCTGTAGGCTGAAAGATGCTAAACTGTGTATTCATTCTGGCGCTGGACTAATTCAGAGGAACGGCCATTTGTTTGACTGTTGCTGCCACTCATCTAGCCAACTCTATTGTTATGCCAGCAACAGGCGATAGTGGTGGAGGCACCATATGGCTTGTGTGTGCCTCGATGTTATCTGGTAATTTAGCTTATCAACACCATTATGTTGTATTTTGTCCTTTCTTTTACATGTCTTTTTATGCAAAGAGGCTGTTTGAGTAAGTTTAGTAAAGGAGGGATTATGTTTATGTAGCCAAATACAATTGTAATTAATACCTTTGGTTTACAGTTTAGGGAACAGGTGACTTTTTTTGTGGTTGTGGTTGAATATAATTTCAATGTTTGATAAGGGAAATGCTAGCATAATTGAGCTAAATTTATCGTGTGTATAATAAATATTCCCTACATTTTGTTTAAGTTCTCATTAAAAAAAATGTTTGTTTTTTTAATGAAAAAGTCAAAAAATAACATCAAAAATAGTTTTGTTGAGCGTTAGGCCATTTTGCTTGTGTCATGTTTTTAGAAATAATTTCACGTATCTAAGGCGAAGGTGCCAAGTATTTAAGCAACAGGTGCTTATGATCAGCGTTGTATGAAATTTTTTTTTAATGGTTTTTGCTTATCAAAAGAAGATAAATGAGCCATTTTAATATAGCGAAATTGTTTTCAGTGTAGATGGATGCTAAATTTGACCATACGGACAAATATGATGTTGCTTTTATAAGTTACATGTCACTTTGCAGGCATGCTCAAAATCACAAGTCTTGCATGATAACTGGAGGGGGTATATACGAAACCCGAAAAGATTTGTCGGAGCAAACGTGAGAGGGGGGCCTGAAGGGGCGACAAAGGAAAATTCATATGTAATGAAATTTGGGTTGAGAGTTTGTCAGCTGAACAATAGCTCAGTGGGACTGTGTAGCAGGGGCACGGGTGGCCGGCTTTGTTCAGGGAACACAGGAACAATAGGGTGTCCTCTGTGGCCCGGGGCAGCGGGAGGCCCACGCCGTGCCCTGAGGTAAACTCTCTTGTCACAAAAGGACGGCTCTCTCCACACAGCCCACCGCTCCACCGCTCCACGAGACCAAGGACAGCCAGAGAGAGACCCTTACTGGAACTCCGCCACTGACGTCAGCACGTCCTCTCCAGGCTGGGCACTGGACGGCCTTTTAGCGAGCTTGTAAATGTTGCTGGACTTGGTGATTTCAGAAAGACCAAAAGAGATACTGGAGTGAATTAGTGTGAAAGAAATAGATACTTGAGGGAAATATAGAGGAAACAAATGATCTTCCCTGATATAGACAGACAAAAAAAAAAAATCAAATCAAAAGAAGATGGATGGACAAGCAGATAGAAATTTTGGAAAATTATATGAAAAGAAGATCTGATTAATAGAACAATAAGATGATAGTGCGATAGTAAATAGAACAATAGAGTGAGTGAGTGGATGGATGGACAAGCAGACAGTTATTTTGGAAGTCACATGACATTTTATTGTTGTTTGTGTATGGCTTTGTGCGGTTTGGTAAAAACCGAAGAGCTTTGGTTTATGTAGGTTATTTTATTATTATCAAATCAGTTTTTCCTTCAATGCTCCTTCAGCTCAGTGGAAACGTCAGAACAACACTTTAGGGAGAGTCATAGTGAAGTCAGTCACTAAATGAGTCAGTTCCTGACACAAGCGCAAAGCTCAGAGTTCCAGTTAAACAGCCCATTATTCACCTCCCCCTACATTATTAATCAGAGGTGGTCTTTCCTTCCAGTTTACAGTTTGGACCGCTGTTAAAATAGCATTTCAGGGAAGAGTTAGTATTTTAGTTATAAAATACATGCTTTTTGATGATAGTGTTTAAAAAAAAAAAGAACTAACCTTTTCCTATTGGGACAGTAGATTAAAAAAAAGACACCGCTGTGTCCTAGATAGATTTAGCCAAGAAAGGGTGAGCAAATCTGTTTTGATACAATTTGATCAGATGGTACTGTGAGTTTTGAAAAGGCGTTTATAAGAGGCATCTGTGTTCTCTGTGCGAAACCGTGTCTGTGGTAAATCGGGACGAGAGCGTGGTTCACGGCACCCTTTGGAGTAAATGTATTTGTCCCCTGCTGGATGGTCAGGAAAGGTTATGAGCAAACACTGGTCATGCTTCTCTGGAGCTCACACTTATTTGAGCACGTCGTCTCTTCCATTTCCTGGAGGAGGCATTGTGGGACGGCGTGGGGAGAGTGGCACCCCAGGAAGACATTGGATAATAGCGGGGTCTGACTCAGCGAAAAATAGCCTGCTTCAGAAGAATGGAGCCTGTGGAGTGATCATAGAACATGTCTGCCCCACAACACCGGAGAGGAAGCCGGTCCACTTTTGGATTGTCTTCAAGGAAGTGGACTTTGCTCGTGGCCTCTGGCAGTGTAGCCACTGAATTGAATCATTTAAGTGCAATGTCCTGAATCAACTTTCCTGTACCAACCAATTACGTATATTTCAGGAACACGGGGGGATATAACCTTGCTCACTAATATTAATTAGGAAAAGTTTGTTTTATTTGATCCAGTGATGCGCAATATATCGGAACCAAATCGGTTATCGGCTGAGTTTAATTTGACTTTATTAAAGATATTTTATAAAATTATTTGAGATTTTTAAATTTATTGCTGTTAATATTGTATATTTAATCGTGCATGTTCATTTTCGCATGGATTATTTAACAGTTCAAAATTAATCTTTTGAAAATCTCCAAATAAATATCCATTTCTTATACTGTGCATTATCATGTTGTGATTCCTGAATTCACTTGTAGCATTGATTTTATAAAATAAAATATTAATATCGGCCAATTATCGTTTATCGGTCAATGCACTGTAAAGACATTTTTTTTTTTAGTTATTTATCCTGAATCAACTTTCCTGTACCAACCAAGTATATTTCAGGAACACAAGGGGATATATAACCTTGCTCACTAATATTAATTAGGAAATGTTTGTTATATTTGATCCACTTGGGATGCGCAATATATCGGAACCATATCGGTTATCGGCAGAGTTTTATTTGACTTTATTAAAGATATTTTATAGATTTATTTCAGATTTTTAAATTTATGTATTTTAATATTGTATATTTAATCATGCATGTTCATTTTTGCATGGATCATTAACAGTTAAAAATTAATCTTTTGAAAATCTCCAAATAAATATCCATTTCTTATACTGTATATTATCATGTCGTGATTCCTGAATTCACTTGTAGCATTGATTTTATAAAATAAAATATTAATATCGGCTGGTTATCGGTCAATACACTGTATAGAGATTTTTTTTGTTAGTTGTTATTTATCTTGTATCAACTTTTCCCTACCAACCAATTATATTTCAGGAACACGAGGGGACATATAACCTTTCTCACTAATATTAATTAGAAAATGTTTGTTATATTTGATCCACTAGGGATGCGCAATATATCGGAACCATATCGGTTATCGGCAGAGTTTTATTTGACTTTATTAAAGATATTTTACAGATTTATTTGAGATTTTTAAATTTATTGCTGTTAATATTGTATATTTAATCGTGCATGTTCATTTTCGCATGGATCATTTAACAGTTAAAAATAAATCTTTTGAAAATCTCCAAATAAATATCCATTTCTTATACTGTACATTATCATGTTGTGATTCCTGAATTCACTTGTAGCATTGATTTTATAAAATAAAATATTAATATCGGCCAATTATCGT